TTTTGAGATGTCTGATAACAAGCCTGAATGCTAACCAACAGAAGCTGGAAGTGCCCTAAAGTCCAGAAGAAGATTAGATGGTCTGTGTCCTAAACAAATTTAAGGCAGCACCTTCAGTTTAATCTAGTGTTTGAAGTCTTACTTCTACCAGAAAAAGGCTTAATGAAGAAAACTGGTAGGCAGATGGACTGACTGAGGTGTGAAAATTTAATTAGAATTAAGATTAGATTTAAAATTTAGATGTGGCCTGCACTAATCCTGTAAATTACGGGCTTCACGAGACTGGCTGCAGGGAGCTGCCTTTTTTTATGATCTCCTACTCGATATACTGGCTAGAAGAAAGATAATTTGTACTGAAAAGGAGAAGGGGATCGCCTAGCTCAGCCAGTAATGCACTGACGTTCAGGAAAGAAAATCTTGCCTTGTTGGAGGGAACACGTGATGTTTTTCAGGCATCTTTTACACAGGATGCAAAGACATCATTTCATCCTGAAGCAGAGGGTATCTGGGGAGAATGTTGCAAAGTATATCCTGGCAGGCCTGGCAGAGTCCGACTTATGGGTAGGGAAGAAAATACTCTAAGTTCCAGTGTTTAATGGAAAGATTCACTGCAGAGCCCCACAGAATATACATTTCATTTAGCCTTGTGAGTGGTTCTGCAATAATGTGCCTTGTTCAGGTTTAAGGAGTTTGCCAAGGCAGCGTGTGAGCTATCAGGTACGATGACACTGAACAGCACAGAGCTATGTCTTCAGAAGGAAACGGGAGGATGATCAACAGCAGCAAAGACACTTGTCAAGACATGGACACAAGCATTTTAATGCTGTATTTAATATTTAAGTCTAAACAAGCAACTCTTTGTTAGTCCGTACAAAGATTTAAATCTTCCAGTGCACTTCTGTGAGCTACCTTATATCATGTCAGGGAGCTAACTTCCTTGGAATATTATTTCTTCTTTAATTCAGGCTTAACTAAAGAGAGTCTCTTGTCAAAAGGATCAATGAGAATTTTATAAGCAATGGTAAGGATTTTCTCCAGCAATTTTCCTAATTGCTGCAATCCAGAAAAACTGAGGACATAGGAGAAAGCATGAATTCCTAAATTACAATACAGACATGGAAGCCTCTGTTACATACATTTAAATTTTTTTGAGAAATGCCAGTACAATAAGATGAAATAGGGATGTGAGTCTGAATATAGACTCACAAGGGATGTAATTATTCAGTGTAAAAAGAGATAGATAGATACACACAAACAGAGTTGAATTTCAACTTATTAAGGGCCAATTTACTGGAAGAAAAGCACAATTAATGAGGCAGTTGGAAAACAATGGAATCAAGCACATAAGAGTGACATGAATTAATAAATTATTGCCCTAAGCATTGTCTCAGGCCCAATTTAGGCATGAAGATCAGATTTTGAAAGCTGTCGAGCAATGTACCATGAGGAGTTCTGTGTTACTTTGTTTCTAGGAATATAAGACATGGATATATTTTTATATATGTCCATGTGTATCTTATACATAAAGGCTAATGTGAGCTGTGATTGGTATATTTGCTTGTGAGTTACTGTTTATAAATGAAGTGTTGATGTCCAGGTGCTTCTCACTCTTGCCATAACTTGATATAGTATCACTGCTGGGTGCAGATTCCTCTGAATGCTTGAATGTTTCACTCCTCACTGTACAAGAAGTTACAACGCACCAAATTTAAAAGGTTTGAGCCCTTGCTGGGGAAAGGATTCCCTCTCAGTACGTGTTCACTGGAGAGAAATATTTTTGAGGGGTAAGAAAATCTTTTGCATAAGAAAGAGGGAATCTTTAGAAAACATGCCTTAAAAAGGATGGCTTTTCAGAGAGCATTGATAATAATGCTGACAAGATGGTTATAATCATTTTGCTAATGGCATTCCTCAGTGGAGTGACTGGGGTAAATAAATTCAGGCTTTTTATAAGAGGGACAGCTTTGAAGCTATTAAAAAATTTGGCCTTTTTGAAAGTCTTTATTTTGATGTGAAACTTAACCCAGTCAGTTAAAATATGTAACTGAAAGAAAATTAAGTATCTACTTTTTCATATTGAGAGGTGACATTTAATCTTAGGACTTGAAACATTAACAGTCGCTTGGAGGACTCTCAGTTCCTTCCAACATTCCTGTTGCATCTTGAGGTAAGGAGATTTTACTTGCTAACTCACAAACTAGAGTTTCAAACCTTCAGAGCCCTTTTCAGTAGTCTGTTGTGAGCAGTTCCGTGCTGACAACAGCTTTTTTATACTTTTTTTTTGTGATACCGGTTTCCACTAAAGCCAGTTTTTCCTTTGGAAAGTGGCTTGACATCCATAAGAAATCTCAGTGTAAATCAAAGAGCCAGACTCAAAAGCCAGACTCAAAAGGCTTTAAAGTTCAGGCCTGTGTGCATATTCTATACCACAGCCTGAATTCTACTGTAAAAACATCACGATGGCTATGCTGTTACTTTCAAATTATGTGACCCAGACCATATAAAAGACACTCCAAACCTAAAAGTAATGGGCATCCATTCAGGGCATCACGGCAAGGTTTACAGCTGAGCCATGGCAGTATTCTGACTTAGGTACCTGGCTTCGCATTCTCAAATAAGGACACTCTCCACTGCCTTTGGAGATGCCGCACCATTTTCAGATGCACAGTGTCGTCATGGCCAGTGTCACAGGAGGCTTTTATCAATAATTTATGTATTATACAGAATCTTTTTCTTGTGTAAACATAGTTAAAGATGGTTTCCATCTATCCAGCTTTTCTGTGTCTTTTAGGTCCAGGAGACTTTTAGGAAGTGTAGTCAGGGGCTAAACATCTGAATTGCATCCTGAGTTCTCTAAGATTCAGCATTATCATAGGAGCCACCATAAGCTAGCAGGGCAGGCTGACCTTCAATCTTCTGAAACATCCAGGTTTCAAAGATGAATATTAATCATATCTCTTCTGTTGGTTTCCTGTGGGTCACCAGGTTTCCCTCACCTGAGAAATATCAATGCTGAAGAAGAAAATGGTAAAGTGCCATTTGTTTCCTCCACTTACCCTTTTGGCCTCATTTTACCAACTATATATCCATGTGTACTTCATGTTTGCAAAGATAAAAGTGAACACCTTGAAAGAATGTCTCTGGTGTGGTACTCCACTGTAATAGCTTGAGAGCTTAATACATTTAGAGCTCTGCTTGCTTGATTTCTTCTGCACACATCCTCTATTCATGGGAGAAATACAGAACATGTCAGAAGGCTGGTTTTTTCCCCCGCTGTACAGTCCCATTTAGCACATGCAGGCCTAAATCTCTGGAAAATAAATATTATGAAAAGCTCTAACTTAAAGGCTTTTGAGAGGTATCCTGTTTCTGTGAAGAATAGGGGAACCAGATAAACAGTGGGAAAGTTCAAGCAAAACAGAGGATTCTCTCACTGATGTGCACATTATATGGCTATAGAAGACTGAGATTAATACTTTATTGTTGGAGGCAGGTATACCTTTGTGAAGATCCAGGCGTATTCTTAAAGCAGCAAAACAAAGCGGGCCAGGGAGGCACCTGATGCACAGTCTGATGGCTGCACTGTCTTAAGACATTCATGAGATGGCTGTGTACAAGAGCAGCAGGGAAGAAGGCTTTTTCAGTTCCCCAGAAAAAAACACTATTTCTCCAAATTTTTTCCCCTTTCACACAGTGATATTAATTTAAGGCCTGAGAACTTTGTCCCTGAGGCAGCGGCTGTGGATGACAGGAGGCAGCAAGATACTAGAAACAAACTTCATGAGAGTCTGCCGTGAGCTCACGGGAATCAGTTTCTGCGCTATGCAGAAGGGTATAACCGCTCATCAGTTCTTCCTCTTCACTGTCTGCTGATCTGCTTGTAATTAATCTTGCAGACTGGATGATATGTGGACCATGCTGTTTCCCTGCCTGCTGTGGGGTTGGTGTATTCAAACCCCCAGGGTAACATTTTGTGATTCAAAATTCCTGAATAGCTATTGAGAGCTCTGTTGTGCCTATGCAGGATAGTTTCATACTACGCTTACATGGGAATCAAGGTCCTGCTGGGTTCCTTGGAAAAAAACTGTCACCTTTTGAAATTCCAATTGTTTCTGAAAATCGGTGATTAACGAACGTGTGTTGTACATTTTAAGACAACAGAACTGTGTATAGTAGCTATGGGTTAGCAGAAGTTTGTACCTCTTCTGCTTGAAGAAATACATTGATAATGTTTAGGAGAACTGACTGTTCTGACCCTCCTGAGCTAAGGCTGAATGGTGCTGTGTGAACGTAACAGCTTTCTAGAGGAAAAAGAAATAACGCTTTGCCACCTTTGGGCACTCAGGTAGGACTGCTAACATGCTTTGTAGTCCCGTTTCTGGTTTTTCAGTGCACATGTGGCTTTTGGTACCAGCCACTAGGATACAGGAGCTGTTTGTAATGAGGTCTCCAGAGATTTCTTGCACTCTGTGCACCCTTGAGCTATTCGGCAATGTCCTACAGGCTTTCTGGTTTTCCATTACTGATCGTTCTCGTTACCTATGAGTGCTTCACAGTTGGGAACAGAGTTGGGAACCATCTGTACAGCCTAGCACAGTGCTAAGGAAAGTGCTTCAGTCCAGTGCTTCAGTCCTTACTGTGGAGACTTGCACATCACTTCATGGCAGAACATTACATCCTTTGTATGTATCCAGATATACACATTCCTTTTGCCTATAGTACATATACCACGACATAGTTGCAAATTCATGACATTTCTGTCTCCATTTTCCCTTTAGAAGAATGTTGAATATTATATCAATAGCATAGGTATTGAATGTGAAGGTAGGAGAGAATTCTCTGCTGCAATCTCTGCAAAATGCACATAAGTTTTAGACAGAAACATAAGAAGAAAATGTTGTTGTTTCTCCTCAGGCTAATGCTGACCCTGCACAGCTTTGCTTGGGGATGGTGTCACCAAAACAAATATTTTCCTTTTTTTTCTGTCTAGATTAACACAGCAGATAAGTTTACCAATTGCGAGGAGGAAGAAGACTACGATGACACTTATGTGCTTATGTTAGGCTCAGAAAATCAACCAGCCATGAGTAAGTCACGTTGTTAGACAGCTTTGTTGGTAACAAAGCATTTGCTGTATTAAGTGAGTGGGATTATGGACAAACAAAGGGGCAAATTAAGTTAATACTTTCAATTTCCACATTACTGCAACTTCCAGGGGAGGGCAGGTGTCCTAGGAGAAGGGGGGAGGCAGGTGAGGGATTCAGTCATGGTAACGAAGTCATCACTCAGAAAGATGGACCTCAGTGCAACCACCCCTCCTGGTGAGTTCTGGAAATTTGTGATCTCTGCTCTGAATCTAGAAAACAGCTGACTTCTCCAAGTTCTTTGAGAACAGCCTTCATATAAGGGGGAGGCACTGCCTACAGGTGCAGCCAGCTCCTGTGTGGAGGCCCAGATAGTAGACATTTTGCAGCTTGTGCTTCATACATCTAAGCATAGATTGATGACAAGCTTGTTCAGAATCTGTGTGGTCATATGCATTCCTCTTGAAAACCACAAATGAAGTTTCTTGTTTGCATTTATTGATGGCATATATTTTGCATATGTTTTACAGTATCATGGATCCATAAAGCTAAACTTTGTCCTGTTTCTATCTTGCCTGTTTGTTGACAATTTTATCTTTTCATCTGTCTCATATTCTTTATGAAAATGATGTTTCTTATTTGCTAAGTTTAAACCAGTTGCTCTAGCACATCTAGGTAGATGATAGACACTGTGAAAATGTGAATTAGAAACCTGGTTAGCCCTGATACATTTTCACTGTCTCTGTCACACTGTATGTGGAACCACTCAGGGTGGACACATGGAAGAACATGGATTGTTAACAGCTGGCCACGTTAACCAGCTAAATGCCCTAACCTCCCGTTTGATTCAGTGGGGAAAGAAGGGCATCCCCAAAGGATAACTCAGAATGGAGACCTACGTCAAGGGCCCAGTATTACCTGCTGTGCATTGGCTGTAAGTCTGCTGACGGACTTGTGTAGTTTACTCTGTTATGTTACTGAGGTTGACTACCCAAATCTTGATGCTGTACGTAATGATTAAAATATACGCTTGCACATCCCTCCACTGTACTCTTGTTCTGTGGTCCATGGGCCACTAAAGACAGAAGAGCTCCATTTCCACAGGAGTAGAGCCATGTCTCGCAGCAGCAATGTTTATTTCATATTAGAGAGATTTAAATAAGCACCCCAACCTCGTTGTATAAAAGCAAGTTACACAGCTGTGTGAGCTACGGCTTTATTTTACAGAGTGTTGCACCATGGTGCATTAAAAGTCAAGTAATACAAAGTACAGAGGCAAGGTAAATGTGTGTGATTTCATTTGACAGCAACTCTAGAAAAGTTTAACATTGCATGCATGAAGATGGTGTGTATCAGAGTAGCAAGATACAATAAAAACTTCTACTGTTGATTTGGTAAATATTTAAAAAGCTGTTCACTGACAGTATGTATTTGACAGCTTTCCTACTGTACCAGTTCATGAAAGTTTTATTAGCCATTGTGTTCCCTCTGTGAGAATCCTTGAAACAGGAAATGTTTCCAGATGGCAAATTTTAAATGAAATAATGCATTCTTTGACATTAAAAGCCAAGCAGAACCCAGGAGATCAATATGGAATTGGATCAAGATGCCAACAAGAAGCTGAAGCGGATGAGGAAAAGAAAGATGATGTAGAAGACAGCAGAGAGGAGACAGAATACGAAGATCAAGAAGAGGAAGATTCATACAGATTTCACAACAGTCCTGACAATTTGTATGCCAGCATACCTGATGATCTCGAAGAAAACAGGAGAGACTTCTTCTTCTGTAAGAGGCCACCCCCTCCTCCCCCTCGAAATCTGCCTGGCATCCTAAGACAGGACGATCTGCACAATTTGTCTCAAGGTACATTCTTGGGAGGAAAATAACCCCAGATACAAACATGTGCAAGTGCATACTAGGTGCTGCTGTAGAGGTTATGTATGATCACCTCTTGTAACAGCAGTAGCTATGCAGTATGGCCCTAATTCTGCAAAGCAGGCATGTTCTTATGAACTTCACTGCGTCAAGATATTCATGGCCAGGTATGTCAGCTAATACTGTGGAATGGGCTGCTGGGTTCACGTTTCAAGTTTTCCTCACTCTACCCATCTGACATTGCTGCCAAATAATACATGATGCATTGGATTTACAAAAGAGGCTTGAAACAAAAGATTGAGCTTGTATTTTTGTCAAGTTGACTGAAGTATTTACCATTTAAAAATATTAAATACTTGGAATAGCTTGGAATTTCACAGACAGAATTACTAGAAAGTGACTGTGCCGAGAGAAGTAACACAGTATTTTATTACATTTTAGCCAATGTTGTGGTTAGAAATAAAAAGCTAGATTGTGTATATTCTTATTTGTCATGGACACTACTGATAAGTGGGCACACAAATTGCTTTTGAGTTTCACCACTGCTCATTACTGTTAACTCTGTTTTTAAATGTGGCATAACCTAATAGAGTTTTAAATTACCATCACCAAGCACTTTGATGTTCATGTAAGTAGCCAGAAGTAGCTTTCTAGCCTTGTAGCCTGCTATAGGTATGTTCTCATCCTGTTTTCTGCTGTGAAAGAAAAAGCTGGCTGTATGCAGGAAGTCATAGGCGGATTCTAAGAGAAAGAGGGGCAGAATAAAATTCATGTTAAAGATGTGTTTTGCTTTCCACGAAATCCTGAACTGCAGCTATATGTGTGCATAAATGACAGGTTAGGTTTGGCACACAGGTTTTGTTAGTGTAGGTTTGATATAAATGCCTGTCTTGGAATACCTCTCATGTGGCTATACCATCAAGCAGTAATGTGACCCTCTCTACCAAATGCCACTTGTCTGTATGAGGCTACCAGCAGAGAACGTTTTTCTGCTACGTAGTGTCCTGTGCTGATAAGGCACAGTTCATCTACAAACACTCCTGTGTGAACAGTTCTTTTTAAACATGCTGTGAATTTTCCTGACATGTTAACCTTGGTTTCATCACTGGGGAATGGGGCAGGGGGTGGGGTATCAGGATTCCTCTAAATGAGGATGATGCTTGCTTTCAAAGAGGAGTTCTAATGAGTTATTGCTACATATTTTTGGTCAGCCAGTTGCTTTGGGTAGCGCTGTGGAATACCTAGAAGGGAAGTCCCCTCTGCTTGAAGTCTGGTTTGGCAGTGGCATGAGAGTGCCCCCTGTGGGAGGTAGAAGAAAGGATATTCTACAGAGAAAAACATAACTTGTAGAGTGATGGGGAAACAAAATATTTTTCTTATTAAATATGGCAGGGGGAAGAATCCCACTACTGTTTTAAAACATTTTTATATCTTAGCCAGAAGACATGTTGATAGTATGTATCAACAATACATCCCATTTATAAATGACACATCCCATTTATAAATGTATCACACTTACAAAGATTGTTTAGTTCCTCTGAACCCGTAAACAGACAGAACAATTCTTTAAATAGCAGCCAAAGGATTGAAAACACCAGTGTTGACCACAGCCTAGTTTAGCAGATACACATGTACAGGCGGTAGATTACAACATGAGGACAATGTGACTCAGTACGAGAATTCCAGGCAGGTCTGCTGTTTTTGCAGGAAAGATGGGTAATCAGCACAAGTTATAAATGTTTATGGGAACACCAGCCTCAGGAACAACTTCTAACTCTTAGCAGTTTGTGGGGTTTTTTAAGACAGATCAGAACAAACCCAGGTATCAGGAAATTCATCGATTCCTTTTAATGCTGTAAAATGCAAAAGCTAAAGAAAAGCAAGTTCTGAGTAGTTGTACTACAAAATACATGAAATATAGGGAGTACAGAGAGTCAGGGAAGTTACTGGGGTGGGGGTTTTGGATAGTCTTAGCATGGATTATAAGAAGTCATACATTTCATCTACACCGTAAGGGGCTTTTTAAATTTTTTTCATCTTGTCCTACAGTACGTCTTAGCAAAGCCCTCAAAATGAAGTGGGAGACTGAAGATGCAGCAAAGACAAAACTCAACAGTTGCTAAAATAAATTTCAATTCTTAAGTCAGTGTTGCAAAAGCTAACAAATAGCTTGAATTTCCAAAATGCCAAGGGTGGCCACAGGTACCACTGGTACCACAGGTACTTGGCTTCCCCATTATAGAACACGTTTGTGTGACTTTTGTGGCAGCAACTGGAGCACTCAGTATTTCTTTCAAATAAGCCCATTTATTTTGGGGCTAATAGCGAAGCATGTATTTTTGATAATCTGATGTGAAATCATGAGGAGGCCCTGAAGTTTGAATTACTCCTTGGGGACATCCTCTCTACTGAATTAGATGAACAGAATCCTCTGAAAATCAGAGTGGTTTAGTGTAGAAGTGAAATCAGGTCTCTGAGTTACTTTAGGAAACTCTAAAGCTTTATGTTAAGTCTTAATCTCCTTTCTTTACCCTGTATATGGAACACAATACCTCGCTTTTTCAGAGGTGAATGTTGTGGAGGACAGAAATGAAAGAGGACGTGGTGATGGACTCATAACAGCATGCTACAGAGAAGACCAAGATACGTGCGAGGGAGACAGCGAGGAGGAACACCCGTACACTTTTGCAAAATTGGATGAATCTGTATACGATTTCATACTGGCTGAGAAAGAGGAGAAAAGGAAAGAAGACAGGTCTTTCATCATGAACAGGCCACCAGCCCCTGCGCCTCGTCCCGTATGTTCAGCAGTCAAAGAGGAGAACACTCCCTATATAGTACAAGGTTAGTGCTGCCGCTTTGTAAATATTTGCTGGTAGAATATAGACGTGTCTCTTCTATTTGGTGAATTAATATTTTTCTGAAAGACTAAGATGCTTGATCAGTTACTTTCACACCAACAAATGAGCTGAGAACATCTGTGATTAATGTTAACTTTCAATTTGCATCTCAGATAGCATCATTTTTTTGATTTTACAAAAATTATGAGAATATGATGGAAAATTAAGAATCGCTGGGCTAGCTGTAAGCGTGTCTGTTTTGATAGTGTGATGCAGAATGTGCTACTGAATCACCTTTCCTTTCAGTTTTTCCTTAATTCTAAGAGAGACGTTTTAGCCATGTTTTATTTTTCCTGATGAGAAAGGTAGGAAGAAATGCCTGTGTGAGAACTCCTCTTTGAAATATCCCTTCTCCCACAGAAGATGCTAGAAATGGCCATCTGGGGAAGGATTATGTCCTTTTACCTTTTCTGAGAAAACTGGGGGACTTCTGTGAGATTATTCATGGAAATGTAAGGCTGGGAGAGATTTCAGATATCTTGTAGTCCAATTCAGACTGAAGCCAAATTTCAAAATAATAGGAGGAATTTCTGTGAACCTACTGCAGACATCTCTGTGTAAGCCCCAAAATCCATACTGTCTTCATTTCCAGACTCCTCTACAAAAGCCTGCGAATGTATAAGAATATGTGTAAGAATAAATGGTAGAAAACCAGGCTGAGAAAGGACACCATTTTTGGTGATTGCTTACTCCATCCAGTGCATGTTTTGCACTAAAACAGGATTAATACTACCCAAAGCATCCTACCGAATGCAGAGGAACCCCTCCTTTTTCATGCTCATTTCAGTCAGTGATTTATTTTATTCTTTCTAGCTTCTACCTCCAGGCTGTGTAACTCCAGGTGAGGGCCAGAATGCATGGGCTAATGCATTCATCATTTAGTTGCTCTTTCTTCAGCATGTCCAGGAGGTATAGGGATGAATCATTACAGTAGTTAAACTGTAATCCAAGAATGAATGTGTATAGGGGCCCTGTTCCAACTGCAAAGGTCCTGAAATGGCTGCTCTTACTGAGATTGCTAGAGCAGCGTCTCATATCTTGGTCCTCCGTCATCATAGACAGGCCAGTGACTTGAAAACCCTTACTGTGAAGATGCGTTTTTTGGGAGATTGCTTTTACTGTATTTTATTGCACTAGAGTGTTTCTGCTTTGTCTACTGTAACTGTTCACTATGGAAGAGGCTATCAGAGGAATTGCTTTGATGGGACTGTGGTTCTTTTACACCATGTGTATATACACACACACACATACACACACCCCCAAGGTTTTTAGCTTTGCTTTTGTAAGCAGGTAGTGGTAGACAGATTAGTTTCCTGTTGTTCTGTGAGATCAGCCTCTGGCCCAAGTTCATTTACTTACGCAATAAATGAGAAAAGTGGAAGTGCTTCAAGAAAGCTTCAGTTGACCACTCAGGCCTCTGTTTCACCTGGCTGTCCTGCTAGTTCCAGATCTGGGGTCTCTCACTCTACTTTCTTGTGCAGAGATCCCCGAGACAGACAGTGAAATTTTAGACAGAATGATTTTTCTTGCTACTTGGATTAGCACGTTTTGTCCTTCTCCACAGTGGTTAAAAAATTCTTCATCTAGTTTAGCAGTATCCGAGTTTATTATATTAAAACTGCTTATAAGCAGAAAAAAAAGATTGTTTCGGTTGTAAGAATCAGAAAATTTCATTCCTATCTATCATTAAAATCTGCATGTGTTTGCAGCCATTGCTTTATAATTTAATTAGTGTAAAATAAAATTACTCTGGCTAGTATACATACACATTTTTCATCCCTCAAATAAATTGATTATAGTTTCAGGGTTTTTATTTCATATATTATGTTAAAAAGAGCATTGTGGAAGTTGCAGAGTCAAATAATCAAAAAGTTAGAATTGAAGTCATTTTGCCCATTTACGCCTTTCTCTGCCACAAACATTACAATACAGTCCTTAAGTATATAGCCATGTGCTGCTATTTGTCACAGATATTTTGGTTCATCTGAGGTTTAAAGTGGGTGAGCGTAACATGCAAAACTCTTCAGGGTTTTTCATTCCAATTTTTGTTTAAAATACAATTCGTGCCTGCCCTAGGTTCAATGTGTTGTTTCAGACCCCCCTGTGATAAACCCTTTGATTTATTCTGTATCCATTGAGTTTTTGGATGCCCAACATGAAGTAACTAAGATGCCATTCTTGAGATTAGCAGCATTATAGGATACTTTACTCATTCAAAGCAAAGATCCCATTGATTTCCGTGGCCACTATGAGTGCTCAGAACTTCAAACTATGTTATTAGTGTGTTTAGTCAGCACCCTAACATCAAGGATTCACAAGCCCGATGGCTGGCTTAGATGACTTGTCTGGGGTTATGCTGGGGCCTTGTTGGAGAGAGAAGTCCTGCTCCATAGAGCGACTTTTAGTCACTTAACTTGAGGCATCCTTCCCTCCTCTGTATTCTCTCTCCATTCACTAAATACCTTTTGACTTCTAAAACAAATTAGATAACATTCCTGTAAGAAACAGGTTGTCTTCACTGCTCAGTTCTGGTTGATCTCCAGAACTGTTCCCTTCTGGTGTTCAGTAGGACACAGGTCCTATGGGAAAAATGGGGTTAGAGAATGGAGCATGATGGATGGAGAAGGGCTGTGTTAAGGTTATACAGTCACCCACAACTGGATCCCTAGATGCTTTGGGAGTTCACGGAAAGAACAAGCTTCATGCTCCAAGGATTTCAGGGCCTGTTGTGAACTAGTGCCATGCAGAGATGCAAGAGGAGGATTTTTTTTTTTTTTTATCCAAAAGAGTGATGGAAAATTATAGGCTCATTTATTGACAAAAAGAAGCTGTAAGCATTGTATAGCAGAAATGCCTTTTGCTTCTTTGATTGTGTGCTGAGGCCTCCTTTTTAATTATTTTTTTTTTTATCCATCCGGACAAATCAAGTAGCTAAATTCTCATGAGGGCTTTCACCACACATTGAAGTCCGTGAAATTACAAAAGAGCATCTTCTCCTTTAAGCAAAAGTGGTGGTGTTTCCATGATAGTAGCAACAAAGAAAGCAGGCAAATAGCCTCTTGGTCATAAGGAGCTTTCAAATACATGGAAGCTCAAGTTTACGCTAGGCAGAAAGCCTACTCGGTGTAGCTTACCACTTGGTGCTCTGCAGAATAGGACAGCGGAACTCTTTAATCTATAGAAAACAAACATGGGACGTCACAAGCCCATTTTTACAGTCTCTTTCAGAGCAGGATCTACACTTTGAAACCTAGGCAGTAGACACTCAGTGATGCAAAATGCCGTAACTGAGCTGCCACGATTTACAGTTTGAGCATCTGACCTGAATTTACTGACAAATAAATTCTGGGAAACATGAGTGAGTTGAAAGATTTAAAATGTAAGTGCTCTAATCGCTTTTACTCGGTTCCATTTATTCTATTTTCAAATCTTAATGAACGTGCAAACTACTGTTTGAACACTGCTAAGTGTACTGCATATTTAACAGAAAGAGAGTATGTTTGTTCTTTAATTTAGACCCCTGCAAGAATTCTGCCTTCTATGTGAAAGGCGCATCAACCAATGGAGCTGCAAATTGGTGCCAAATAGCTTGTTGTCCAGATGGTGTGCACTCTTAGTGTGCTCCCTTTCTATTCCTCAAGTGCTTAGTATTCCTTTGTAGGTTATTTCTGTGTTTTTTCAGATGTGTGCTGCCAAAACAACTGTTAAATAAATGTATGAAGGTGTTGTGTTTTCAGTTTACAGTGAAATTTTAATGCTCTGTATTGATACCAGATTTGATTGAGCTGGAATCCAGAGTGCCCGATGTATTCTTAGGACAGGTGCATGAGTTTCTGTAATGCCTCCCTACCGTTTCTGAAGTCTGACCTACCAGGACTGCCTCAGGGCTTAAGGAATACATTCCTGTTCCGGTGTGGTCATTTACCACTTAGCAGAGACCACCAGTATGAGAGTTCTTTGCAGCAAGGACACCTGTCCTACCACTGCATAAATAAAATGTCATATGCTATAGCCTTTGTTCTTTTACAAGCCTTTCACAAATCCCTGAAGGAATGCATTTCCCCTCTATGCACTGGAAACATTTCGCTATATAAAGATAGCTGTCTGTGGGACTTCACACTAGGGTTAAAAGCTAGAAGTGGAAAAATACATTTCCCAGTTACTCTCCCAGAAGAGAATAGCATTCTCATTGCTCATCAAAATCACAGGGTATGCAGAAAAAGTAGCAGCCAGTGGGTATTTTTAGGGAGGCAGAATATCTCATGTACAGAATAGACAACAAACCCAAATGAAATGAAAAAACAAAATCCAGAACAGAACTGTTAGTGTCTTGGAAACTTATCAGGCTGATTACTGGGAACTATTGTGATCGCATCCTGAGTTAGTAATTCTTATTATGCAGATTGTTTAAATGCTCTAAAGTAGCGATTCCAAAGTGAAGCCTTGGAGCCCATGCAAACTGCGAAACATTTATGTCCCACAGAGGGATTTTTTAGTACTTTCCTACAGTGAGTATAAAGTACTGCACTGCAGATGAATTTCATTATGTATCTCCAACGTTAGGGTGTTTTTCCATGAATAAAATACTAGGAACCACTGTTCAGCTGTCTTCGAGCACTTAGACTGTTTTTAGAGACCTGGTTGGGAAGTGGTGTACTGGCTTCATCTGCTGCATTCATTCAATCAGATTTTTTGCTATCTTGACTCTGGTAGATTGAAACGTACTAAATAAGGTGCACAGAGGGAAAATATTTAAAGGATGCTGCCTGGTTGAAAAACAAACTGTTCTAAATAGCATATTTCTGGTAAAACCAGATATAGAGTCTTCCCCTTTTTGCTTTTCTCTACTGAAGAAAAATGGGACTGCAGAAGTGTGTTTAGGTTTTACATGCTGGGACAAATATTCTTGAGTATGTCGCAAGAGACCTTCCAACTTCCATAATC